AAGTAAATTATATAGTATTTTGAGATACTTCTATTTAGAGAATAGGAAATGTAGAGCTTCTGGTTTAAGTGACAATATTTCATATACAGCAACTTCAACTCTTAATGCTGGTCTCTTGCATTTGAATTCCTTTTTATTTTTATTATTATTATTTTTTTTAAGATTTTATTTATTTATTTGACAGAGACAGCGAGAGCGGGAACACAAGCAGGGGGAGTGGGAGAGGGAGAAGCAGGTTTCCCACTGAGCAGGGAGCCTGATGTGGGGCTCGATCCCAGGACTCTGGGATCATGACCTGAGCTGAAGGCAGCCACCTAACGGCTAAGCCACCCAGGCGCCCCTTTAATTCCTTTTTAAAAGGGACTGAGCAGGCCAATTTAATCTACGTGTCTGGGTTTATTCATAACCATATACTATGCTTATCTTCTGTTTTCTGTTGATAAAGCCATCAATTTTTAACAAATCTTTTAGCTCAGACTTCTAGAAATCAGAAGTAATATCTTGTGATACCTTTTCTAATGATTAAACCTACAATAATGATGATGATGTTAATAATAAAAGAAACATAAATAAGTGTTCTTTAGAGGCAAAGTAGAAATGGCTTCTGATCTTTGGATACTCCAACTTGTTTATTTCTTTAATCATGCCACCTATATTAATCCATCATGGACTACAAAGAACATTCACATCATTGCAAGCACAGGCTTATTTAGAGGAACAACTAGGAGCTTCAAGGATTATTTCTCTTTTCAGATGAGTCTATAATAATCCTCTTCCAGTAAAAGAAAAATGTGTTTGTGAGTGCCTCAGGGGCCATCAACCAGTGATAGCTGCTGTATATTATATAGCCTAAAAAAGCCCAAAGACAAAATGGAGGGCCTGGTCAATACCATCAGTTAAATACAAATTACTTTAGGATCAGCCTCTCCTGAAGTTTTAAGAAGACTCAGAGATCCATGGAGAAGGAACAAACAGGCATAGCTCTAAATGTAGCAGGGGGCTTTGGGATGGCTTTTCAGCCTCACTTAGAAATGGGCAATGCCAAGCCCTGAGGTCTAACATTTCGATTATGGAACATGTCTGTTCAGGGGCCTCATGGCCTCTGCTAGCCTGTCAGCATCACAGAAGAAAAATGCCCTCAGCTTCCAGGGCTCTTATGAAAGGGAATCAGTGATTGATAAGAAAAGGGTGGTTCGAGGCAAGCTGGGAGAGAAAAAAAAAAAAAAAACAAACCACTGCTGAGTAGGGAGGAAAAAAGAGGAACGAACAGTGTGTGTTTCCAGATTTGTGCGTTTGGCTTAAAAGTTCTTGACTCAAGTTTAGATTTTCCTAAGTAATGTCTCCTTGTTCCACATAGCTCAATAAAGGCAACTAAAATAGAATATTCCAAGCATTGATGACTGAAAAACAATTTATATTTTAAGTATAATTCTGACAATACTGTACATGTTGTTGTGATCCCAAGGTTGTTTCTTAAGACAAGAGTCAGGTCTTTCTTTATATATTTAGTATTAATAAAGTTGATAGAATGGTGAGGAGGACAGAAAAGGTAGAGGAATAAAAGATTGATAATAAAGATTAATGGTCCTGCAGTAAACATCCTATGTGGTACTTACTGATTAAAGACAACAAAAGAAACAAAGAAGAAAAGTATGTTAAAAAATTTAGACACACTAAAGAAGGGAACGCAATTAAGGAGACACTAAACCAAGCAGTGTGACTGAGGCAATTAGTGCTAGGCCACTGGCCTTATGATAAACAGAGTGTCCAAACCCCTCGCAGCCACTTGTAAAGCCCGTCTTCCATCTGTCTGGGCACCACTATAAATGCCCATGCAGCAACTGCTCTGTTCTGTAATCTGTGCATACCAGCTCTGCAATGAGTAGAATGACTCAGAGGGGCAACTTAAGCTCTTCAGTGATCAGTTAGACTGTAATTTGGCCATGGCTCCATATCAGAATAAAAGAAGAGAAAAATATATGACAATCTTTTTTTTTTTTTTTTTTTTTTTTTTTAGAGAGGGACAGAGGAAGTGCAAGTGTGTGAATGGGGCTGGGAGGGGCAGAGTTCGGAGAGACAGAGAAAGAATCTTAAGCAGGCTCCATGCTCAGTGCAGAGCTCGATGCAGGGCTCAATCTCATGATCCTGAGGATCATGACCTGAGCTGACATCAAGAGTTGGACACCTAACCGACTGAGCCACCCAGACACCCCTTACATGACAATCTTTCTTATAAGTAGAAAAAGAAAAGTTAATTCCTGTGACATCTTAAAACAAAACTCTCTTAAAAAAATGAAAAAGTTTCTATTTTTTTTCCACTGCAACACTACAACCTTTCCCCACCAAAAAACAAAAAACAAAAAAACAAAAAAAAAGGAAAAAAGTTAATGAAAAAAATAAAACTGTGAGTGAAAACTGTTCCTGAAAACTTTGCAGAATTGTAACAGCTTTGTCTTGGTTAAATTGATTGGTATAGCAACATTATAAAATGACTATTAGGATTCATTGTGCACAACAGAAAGTGCTGAAATGTCAGCAGACTATACAGCAAAAAGTAATGGGTTCTGAACCCCTGTTAGTCAAAAATGATTTTGTTTCAAATTAGAAATTGATTTTTTTTGGACACAAGCCCTTTCCAGGCTTATAGCTTCCGCAGCTGGGCCCAGGAGAGATTAACCTCCACCACTGTAAGGGCTGGCCTGATGGTACCTTTCTCAAAGTGCCTTTTCAACTGCAGCCTTCTAATGTGGCTGTGGTCTTAACCAATAACACAAGTTATTTGTCCCTTTGCTATTACACTCTATTTTTCTCATTTTGCCATTTTACTTTAGTGCTGGCACACAACCCAAATTTGTTGACAAGTTAACAGAAAACTATGTTAAGACTTGCAGTATAACCACCACGCACACACCAGTTTTGATTGGTTCTCTATTCTCCAAAGTGCAATGACTAAGACGAGAATATGAGTTTCCCATCTCTCAAGGACTCACAGAGAAAATAAATAAGATTCTACCTCAGAGATGAAGTCTCTTCAATCTCATTTTTGTTTCTGGTAGCAAAGTCTACAAAGACAAAAGTTGTTCTAAGTTGTCCTGATGCAATGAGGTCTGCAGAACTTCTGCCTTATGTCAAACAAAATGTACTTGCTTTTCAAGATGTGGATGGTTTCTCTTCTGAATCTTGGACTAATTATCATCTCTCAATTATGTGGAAGAAGATTAAACAATTTCTAGATTAATCATAGTTAAAACCAAAAATCATGTCAAAGGCGGCAGGTGATGAGAGTGTGGTATACAAGATCTTCTAATAAAGCACTGCACACTTTTCAAACAAATAAATATAAGAGTGACTAGAGAGATTACAAAAAGTTGGTTGCTTAATACCAGAGGTGGGCAGGTGCCAGCCCAGTAAAAAAGGAGGTAAATACGTGGATGGAACTAGAGTGTATTATGCGAAGTGAAATAAGTCAGTCAGAGAAAAACAAATACCATATGATCTCACTCGTGTGGAATTTAAGAAAGAAAACAGACAAACATATGAGAGGGGGAGGAAGGAGAGAGGTAAACAAGCTATAAGTGACTCTTAAGGAGAGAGAACAGGGGCGCCTGGGTGGCTCAGTCGTTAAGCATCTGCCTTCAGCTCAGGTCACGATCCCAGGATCCTGGGATCGAGCCCCGCATGGGGCTCTCTGCTCGGCAGGAAGCCTACTTCTCCCTCTCCCACTCCCCATGCTTGTGTTCCCTCCGTGCTGTGTTCCCTCCGTGCTTGTGTTCCCTCCGTGCTTGTGTTCCCTCCGTGCTTGTGTTCCCTCCGTGCTTGTGTTCCCTCCCTCGCTGTGTCTCTCTGTCAAATAAATAAATAAAACCTTTAAAAAAAAAAAAGGAGAGAGAACAAATAGGATTGATGGAGGGAAGTGGGTGGGGGATGGACTAGATCAGTGATGGGCATTAAGGAGGGCACTTGTGATGAGCACTGGGTGTTGTATGGAAGTGATGAATCACTGAATTCTACTCCAGAAACCAACACTGCACTATATTTAACTACCTAAAATTTAAATTAAAAAAAAAAAAAAAGAAGGAAGTCAGAGTTAATGGTTGTAAGCAGGTAAGAGATATCTGGGGGAAGAGGTGTGTGGAGAGGAGGCTCCGAGACTTTTTGTGGCCCTTTCTTGCCTGTACATCACTCTGTACAAGGAAGCTCAGACCTGCTGCATTCTGCTGTGAAGTCCTTCCCTTGGTAATTTTAGGAGAGGTGAAGCCACAAGCCACTCCAGAAACAATCAGGAAACACAATTAAATTTTGACCACTTCGCTCAACATTTCACACAGTTATTTTATAATTGATTTTCTTTTAAAATATCTGTGACATCTGGGTGCCTGGCTGGCTCAGTTGGTGGAGCGTGCGACTCGATCTCGAGGTTGTGAGTTCAGGCCCCACGGTGGGTGTAGAGTTTACTTAAAAATACGATCTTTTAAAAAAAATCTGAGACATCTAAAGTAGGAAGAATTACTGGCACTTAAAAGACTGCTGGGCAATAGGTTTCAGACTTACGAAGTTTTGTTTTAGCTACAATGTAGAATTGTCTATGACCTCTCCTTTACCCTTCCCATATTTCTAGTTAATTTTAGAGGATTAACTATAGTTGTTAGAGTTTACTCTCCCAGCAGAAATTACATTCAATTTCCTGTCCTCTTTACTCACTTTGAACATTATTCTATGCCTATAACCATACTTATTGTTAAATCAGCCTTACAGTTTGCTACTTGCAAAGAGGGACAAATCGGACAGTTTTTTCTAAGAGTATTCTAAGAGAAATGCTGATGCGATTCAGTGATCTAGCAGATGTACCACCTGTGGCCTTGCAGACACATGTCAGTTGGTAATACACTTAACTCTTCTTCAGGGTTGTAGAAATCATCTGGAGTTCATGGCTAGCACCCACAGCACCCACTGGCCCCAGAACAGCTTCTCCTTTTGCTACATATAGATGCTAAGCTTACCTCTTTGGGGTCGATATGTATCTTTCTTTTGACATGTCCATAGGGTATCATCTTCTGTATGTGATTGAAACCCAACTGTCTTCTTCTCCCTTCTATTCTCACTGCTGTTAGTGGACTCTTGGTACTTTTTGATGGACGATGATCCTCCCAGCAGCCAGCCATCACATTTTGACTTCAATAAACTGAAAAGAATAAACATGAATTAGCTGTAAAGAGCATAGATGAGGGGTGCATGATCACATAAAGGCATATAAATTCAGCATGGTTGAAATGCAATTCATGGCAGTAAGAACTTTCTTTTTCTTATTGTTTTATTGAAGTATAATTTGAATAATTTACCGAAGGTCTATTTTGTATCTTGCCACAATAATTTTAGAGAAGAAATGGTCTTTATCCTCAAAAAGCTTATATTTGGAGTTGGGGAAGTGAGACTCAGACCCATGAAACTGCTAATAAAGCCACAGAGTATGACTAAGAACCAGAATATCTGTAGAAATAAAAAGTATGCTAAAACAAGACTTGCATAACTAAAATGTTTCCATGTACTAAAATTGAACATTAGGGATTAAAATATCACCAATTTGCTTCAAAATGCATTTGTGTTTCTCATTTTCCATTGTTACAGTATTTATTATGTTCGCAGAGTATGTACAGAGCAGTACAATGGGTCTCTGTCCTCACATAATTTCATTATAAAGTCAACAAGGCAAGTATGGAGTAAAAGGCATTTTAATGAAAATAAACACATGTACATACGTTTTTCTCTCTAATAAACTGTGTTCCCACCATTAACACATTTCCTCTTATAACATTTTATTTTTTAGGGAGAAGCATCCCAATGATGTATGTTCCTTACTATTCTACCAGCCTCTTCCTTTAAACTTAAATTCACTACAGACTCATATGACACTTTGGTTGTCTTCACCATGCCCAAAAAACAATGTGAGAGTCAAAGTGAAAAAAAAAAGAGAGAGAGAGAGAGAAAACATTTACCCAAAAAGCAGAGTCTAAATATTAAGATGTTTAAACTCCCCAGAAGCAGAGGTAATCTCTGGATAAGAATAAGTTGACAGAATATTATTAATCTCAGTGGACTCTTGACCAGGATTCAAATCATGTAAACCCATCCAAGTCACTGGGCTTCTGGTTTATGTTGATCAGAATTTTTAATAATGTTTGCTCATATCATAATTTACTAATAAAAACCAAGAAATTAAGTGGCTTTATGTTAGGAATGATATAAAGAAACAAAAACTATTAACAGTATGGCTTTATATGGGCATAATGCAGTGTATTAAATTTATACTCTTAAAATTTTTTTTTACCAGAACTCAGGGATCACTTACCCATGTAGTCTCACCAGTGGATGTGTATCTTAGCTCATATAACTTCTATTCATGGGACAGGAAAAGGAAGAGAATAAAACTACCTCACTTTGAATGTAAGATAAATTTACTTTAACCCAGAAGCTCCAGATGCAGGCAAATCCAAGGACTACATCTCTGCTTGTTCTTTCTTTCTTTCTTTTTAGAGAGAGAGAGAGAGAGAGAGAGCATGTGTGAGTTGGGGGGTGGGGAGGGGCAGAGGGAGAGGGAAAGAAAGAATCCCAAGCAGACTCCCCACTGAGCATGGAGCCCAGAGTGGGGCTCGATCGATCCCATGACCCTGAGATCACAACCTGAGCGCAAATCAAGAGTCAGACACTTAACTGACTGAGCCACCCAGGTGCCCCCATCTCTGCTTGTTCTTTCTCTTTTTTTAAAGATTTTATTTATTTGAGAGAGAGAGTACTTGTGCTCCCGTGCTTGCTCTCTCTCTCAAATAAACCCAATCTCTACCTCAACAGGGGACTTGGCTTCTAATTTCTTTAAAATAAAGATGACTACAAAAAGTTTCTTATTTCCATCTTTACCTATCAACTATTCCTCTGTTAATGTCTCAGAAGAAAAATCACACCTTTTATTCATATTCCTGATATTACTGACCTATGCCCTCTGTGATTACGGTCTGTCAATTATCTCCTTTTCTTATAATTTACAAACTCCTCCTCTCAACTGGATTCTTTCCTAGGATTATGAACAAGATCAGACTTTTCATTAAAAATCAAAACCTAAGCCTAAAACCAGAAACTCTTCCCTTAGGTGGGAAAGAATAATACTCTGTGTCAGTGAGGGTAGGGTGCAGGGAAAAGAGCACTGTAATACATTACTGGAGGAACTGCAAATTGGTATAGCCTTTTGGTGAGTGATTTGTCAACACAAAATAAAAATGCACCTACCTCCTAACAATTCTGCTTTTAAGAAGTTATCCTATGGAATTACATTAACAACAGCATGAGGATATTTGTTCAAGGACAGTCATTGCAGAATTATTTGTAACAGGGGAAAACTGAAGGCAAATATTCAATAGAAGATGAGTAAAGAAAAAAAACTGATACATCCATTATAAGGAAAGCTATTCAGTCACTAAAAAGAATGAGGTAGTTCTCTACACTATTGTGGAGAAACTTCATGACATACTAATAAGGAAGGAAGGAAGGAAGGAAGGAAGGAAGGAAGGAAGGAAGGAAGGAAGGAAGGAAGGAAGGAAAGGAAAGGAAAAGAGAGAGAGAGAGAAAGCAAGCAAGCAAGCAAGCAGGCAAGCAATTTGCAATAATAGAATGTATAACATGACCTTATTTTTGTAAAAACAAAAATACATAACAAATATTTTTAAAGTTCTGGATGAATACATACCAAACCTGAGAAGAAGCAGACATAGAGTGAGTGAGGGAATAGCTTTTATAATTTAATTTATATACTTCTGAATGTTTTCATTTCTTCTAATAGGCATGTACTTTTTAAATTAAAAAACAAAACCTTTTACCATCACCTTTACATTACCATCTCCTCTCTCTTTCCCTTCTCTGCCAAACTTCTAGAAAACAATAATCAATTTTAAAAGACATGCCTATTAAAACTATTTTTCAAAGAACTAATCTGGTGGCTTTTTCTCTTTCAACAGTCTTTTTACTAGATCACTTCACAACAACTGACTCCTTTTTTTACAACTTTTTATCTTGGACTTCGTAATATATCATCAGGATTGGTTTTCTAGTTTTAGGAAGCTTCTACTCAGATTCTTTTACTGGAAACCCCTCTACTTCCTTCCCCTTAAATGCAGACATTCCTCAAGATTCTGTCCTTTTCTTTCTTCTCCCCCCACTTAGCACTTTCTTAGTGATTCTTGCCACGTCATTGTATTTTCAATTATGATTTCTAAATAGATTCATCTAGCCCCCAGTGCTCTCTAAAACTGCTGACCTGATCCAGTATCTGCCAGAAAGCTGTGAAGGGATGTCTTGTCATACCTCCCGAAGTAACTTCTGAGAAAGCAATTGCATTATATTTATCTTGAAACTAGTTTCTTCATGCTTCCATTCTCATTTAATGACATTGCCATTCTCTCAGTCACTTACATGAAAACTATCAGTTATCTCAAATTCTTGTTTCCTTGTGCCTGTTCAATAAATCACTAAATAAATAATTCCTTTGTATATTCATCAGATATTTACTGAGGACATACTCTATAGGCCTGGTAACGTGCTATGGGGTCAGAGTGGGCAAACATAAAAAATAAATATTTATTGAGTACATTATATATGCTAGGTGCTAAGCATACAAACATGAGCAAGACCTGGTTGCTGTTCTCAAGTGATTTTTGTGGTGGAAAGAGACACTGAAACAGATAATTTTTTAATTTTTTTAAAAGATTTTATTTATTTATTTGACAGAGAGACACAGCGAGAGAGGGAACACAAACAGGAGGAGTGGGAGAGGGAGAAGCAGGCTTCCCACTGAGCTGGGAGCCCAATGCAGGGCTTAATCCCAGGACCCTAGGATCATGACCTGAGCCGAAGGCAGACGCTTAACAACTGAGCTGCCCAGGCGCCCCGAAACGAATAATTTTTAAAAAAGATTTATTTCTTTATTTTAGCAGGGGAGGGGCAGAGGGAGGGAGAAAGAGAATCCCCAAGCAGACTCTGCTCTGAGTGCGGAGCCCAATGCAGGGCTCGATCTCATGACCCTGAGATCCTGACCTGAGCCGAAATCAAGAGTTGGCCACTTAACTGAGCCACCCAGGTGCTCCTGAAACAGATCATTTTAAAAACTGTATGATACATGCTATGATTCAGGGATACACAGGTGTTAATGGGAACAGAAAGGCAGGGCACCTATCTATATTACTGAGGGGAAATTCTGGAAGCATTCCAACTAAATCTTGGAGGATAAGCAGGGGATAAGGAAGGATGGAAGGATGTTCTAAGCAGAAAAAACACTATGAGCAAATATACAAACAAGAAAAACATCATATATTTTGAGAAGTGAAGGTGAGGCAGGAGAGACAGGGACAGGTTATTTCATGAAAGGTTTGGTTTCTCATATAAAGGGGCTTGAGCTCTATTTTGTAGGCAAGGCAGAGTCACTGGAAAGCTCTAAGGGGGAAATGGCATAATTCAACTTGAATTTATAAAAAACTATCCCAGAACGGTGCCACTTAGAAAAGGGACTATAAGAAGTTGGATGAGTCAAAAGACTGCTGAAACAGCTCTGAGGAGAGATTAGATAAAGGTCTGGGATGGAGAAGCAGTCATACGAAATGAAGAGAGATGGTTTAAAAACCATATTTAGGATTTAAAATTGGTAGAACCTGACGAGTGTTTGAATGTGAAAAGTGAAGGGAAAAGGTAGTGAGAATGACTGGCAGCATTATGGGGGCATAAGCAATACAAAGAGGAAGGATTGGGAATGTGGGAGAAATTAAATGTAGCCTGAGGTACTTATGAAACATTTGGGAAGATATTTCAAGAAAGCATTTGGATCAATAACTCTATAGTGTTTTGCTACTTGGCTGGCTAACTTTAGGGTGGTGGGGTGGAGACAGAGTTGAGGAAGTACATACTTCATTTTCAATGTTCTTGGTGAAGGAGGAGGTAAATTCATTCCTGTGAGTGAAAGAAACGGGTATTGAGAAGTGAAGATTTGGAGTATGTATTGAGGGAATTCAAGATAGAAATGACCAAGAACAAGGGAAAAACCATCCTGCAATGTTGAAGGCCTAACAACTAGAAATCATAAATTTGTGTCAAGGCTCAGGTGCACAGATGTAAAAGCGGAGAAAGCAGCCTGAGAGCTTGATCCCG